ATTACTCTCCAAGTGCAAATAAAGTCGACCTGGTACGAGGATGATGTTCGTTTGGAGGACTACCTCGAAGAGAAGGAAGCCGAGTCTACGATTGCTCTCTGAAGGACGGTAAAGCGCATGTCTGACGGGCGAACTTTTCTGGATGCGCCTATTAACCAACTTATGCCATCCATTCTCATGTAGCTCTTGCTGTAAATCGCACTGCAGCCCAGCATGTAGTTGTAGGAGGAAGCTGAGTCAACTAACCTCATGATGAGCAAACGCAACGGATCAAAGTTGTCGATTTATTCTGCCGACTAAAGCTACGTTTTACAGCATATCGGCTATGACAACTTAGACACAACTGCCAGAGCAAGCGGAGTTGGTAGCACTTTAATAAGTTATTCGGGCAAACTGAACAGACCACCAGAGGCTGCACCCATCCTTCACACCAGGAACATAAATAAGCATCCCTTGTGCTTTTTAGGTCAGTTTTTCGAGGGACCTAGGAACGGGTACATTTTGACCAAAATATTTGCCATTTTGTTTTTTAAATGAAAATATTTAGTCCTGACGCGAGCTGCTAAGTAGCCCTAGTTACGGTCCACCGTTGTGCGCATATGACAGGATGCTCAATAGCCTAAGCGGGTCCTCTCACCAAAATCACGAGAATTTGTTACACTACGAAGATTGCATTGCATCGCTTTGTCAACGCAGTATCGATACATACATAAACTGTGTTGACTTGAGCAGCAAAAGTAGCGTAAATTTGCAACTTTCCGATTTCCTAAATCCCCTCTTGCCCAGCGGATAGACTTTAATCCTCCAGGGCCGGTGTCTCGGTTCCGCTGCTTCATGTCAGCCGAACGGACAAAAGGATGAGCGTATGCGAGGGGAACCAAACGAAGGCGTTGGAGACCACTCGAAGCCGATTGCATCAGCTCCAATTGAGCCCGACTTGCCAGGCTGTGGACTTGCAGAGCTCCGCTTGGAATGTGAGTCTGGTCTAGACGGCCTTTTTTGCCCCAAAAGGTATAGATCTTCTTTGTATCAGAGTTTTGCTGCGGTACTGGCCTGCACACAAGCATGACTCTTTAAGAGATGAGATGAAAATTCATCTGAAATGGGAACATTTGACAATCATTTGAGGAAAAGTTGGGTTTCAAGGAATCTTTTGGCTTATAACTGTGGATCTTGCTTCCATTTCGAGTGAAAGTGTTTGGTGAAGCGATTTAAAAGTTTACCCCATCAGAAGATGGCGGTGGATTCCTCTTCACCAACTGTCGATCAGCCTTATTGGAGCATTCTTGTTGACGCCATTTCAAATGCTATATCTTCCGATTGCAGTGAAAACGTGCTAGGCTTTCATTCATCGTAGGATACCATCCTTAAAACCTTATTCAAGCTAATAAGTCAAAAAAACTCACTCTCTTGTATCTAAATGTTATATATAAATATAAATAAATAATTATATATATATATATTTATTTATTTATACTTATATATAAAATCCAATATCTCTATATATATCTTCTAGTTAAGCTCTTTGATGAGGCATAAAGTGATTCGGTTAGTTCACACTATATGCCAACCTCAGAGCATGAGATTGTGTCTGTATATGTGTTTTTATGTACTTTAGGGTGTTCTTATATGTAAGAGAACAGCAGAGGTGGTTCAAAGTAATTAGAACAGAAAAAGTAACGACCGTTTTCGGCCACCAAGGCTTACTGACTGCCACTACTCCTTTATATATATTCATATATTTTTTGAGGTTAAGACTTTTATTTCATCTGGCAGTACATGATGAAGAGATTTGTAGGTCATTATCACCAGAAGACCTATGAATCTTTTCATCATGTACTTCCAGTAGAAATCTTATCTCAGGCGATACTTCGAATCATCACTCCTATTTCGCAAAGTTGGGCACACGTCTGTTTATGTTAATGGGCTTCTTGTCTTCTTGTAAGAAAGAAAGAGTGGAAGTAGGCTCGGCATTCAACAATCAGTCTTTTATCACCTTATGCGACCTAAGAACTCGAGTCATATAAAGACTGATAAGTAAATTAGGGCAATATTTCACTTGTATTGGAGTTATTTTGCTGCCAGTTGATCTACACGATCCGGTTTCAAATGTCTGAGTTAGAACGTGTTTCCGAGAGGCAAAGTTTTGGAAAGTATTCAACTCATTTAATTCTGGCACACTTAACTAGCAGCCTAGGTGACTCAAATTATTATTTTAAAAGTTATCTTTTATTGCTTTATCTTTGCGACAAAACTGAAGGCCATATCACTGCGGCAGAGATGAGAATATGAAGACACCCAGCCTGCGACTCGTCGGTTCTAATGTCTACATATCCTGGGTTCGAATAGTGGAAAAGCGACGGATAAATCACGAAGGGGACAGCCGGCAGATTATCGGTTGGCAGAGTTCAGCTAGCATTTGCTTGCATGTTTG